GAACTGAGAAAATTATATAAACACAATTAAAGCACAATAAATCTGTTATAATAATTTTACGTTTTTTTAACCATGAAATTGTGCGCGCACCTACTATCTAAATGTACATCCGCGTGCACTTCATATCAACGAACGTAAACAAAAGGAGGATATAAATATACTTTAGTAGAGATTTTGTACATTTTAAAAGCTTATCAGAGTTTTCAAAAAAGGCTTAACGTTAGGTAGTAGAATAACATTACAAGTTTATTTATTGATAGTATTAAGTTCGGTAAAGTTTAGCCCTAACAAAACAAATAAGTTACAGTTTTAATTTATCTCTTTAGCTAATATAAGCCGCACTTAATGAAGGCTTATATTTCAGTTTCTGGGATTAGAATTATTTTCTATTATTTTAGAAATCCTGTATTTAAGGAAGTACTGTTGCAATGACAATACTGATTTAACCGCGAATATTTTGTGGGTCTCTGCTAGTTTGATATTAATTTGCAAGAATATCCCATGCACGGTTTATTATTGGCACTCCCTGAGGAGCAGATTAGCAGACGAAAAGTGGGGATATAGATTATTTAATAGTCTTGGGTGATCATGTAGGTTATTCACTATGACAACAATACAGACATCTGATCGCCATAACATTTCGCCGTTTGGATTTATCGCTTCAAGATTTAAACTTGTTTCTAATTAATCTACATTGTTATACTTTTAAAAAGTTCACACAGGCATGATTTCTTAAATTTCAAAACATGAAGCAATAGATGATTTTTGTTCTCGGGATTTTTTCCATTTATAGATTTACAATACTTATCTTAAAACTCCACAACTATGTTATTTTCAATATTCTGGCATTATCTAGTGTAATCAACAGGGCTCAGTATAAGACGCAACATTAAAGAAACTGCTGTATAATATATGTGTATATATGCGTCCAAGTAACGTGCACATTAACAAGAGTATTAATAGCAATTAATTCTGCACTCAACATGTACAGAAAAAATGAAGCTAGAATAAGAACAAGAAATACAATTGTATACATCATGTGTAAGATATGTGGATATTTTTACTGCGTTGTTTCCTTTTAAACAGTGTAATTGATTTGTGCATATACTAGAAATTTGGGTCACGTTTTACTTTTCATAAAACCTACTGTAAATGTATTCTCCAACAAGTGCCAAATAAAACAAAACTTTTCTGTAATTCTATGAAAGTTTCGCTTTTAACAAAACTTATCGCAATCTAATTTCATCCCCTTTTTTTCACACTATAGTTACAGTCATAAAAGGAAGGGGTGAAATTGATCAATATTCAGTACATCGTTCCAGTTTCGTATGTGCGCAAAATAAAAATTACGTTTGATGCTCAAGTGTAAAATATACACATTGGGCTATCTGCGCTGTGTCCACCCTGGATCCACATGAGGGCAAGTAATTTAGTAACTTATTAACTATAGCCTCATTTACTCGTTAAATATATAGATACACCTATAATATACGATACGCCATTTTGCTTCCACCATGATGAATTTAATTAAACGTATTTTTAATTATATTGACAAAAATCATCAGATCACTGGGTAGACATTTTTTTAAGTTATTGTCATTTCAAAAATTTGGGCTTGTATCGTAGATTTATCACAGATTTCTCAATAAATTTAGGGCTAAGCATCTGTATTCTCGATTCGGATACGGGGTGACCTCTCCTTCAAGTCACAATATACTATCCGAGTAACAAAATTTCCTATTTGTCAATACTTCACGTTTAAATGTTAGACTAAGGGATAAACTCGTGTTATCTTAAAACTCCACAACTATGTTATTTTCAATATTCTGGCATTATCTGGTGTAATCAAACGGTTATCTTTGTAGGTTTTTATAATAGACATAAAAATGCAAAAATAATAGACAGAGAATAAAACACCAAACGTAGGAAAATCAAGGAAGCTATTGTCATCCAAGTACAAGACAATGAACCAACAAACTATCAAGAATTAATGAAAACAACGGCCAACAACAACTCAATACTGTATGGACCCCACTCATAAAACACATCATTTGTCGTGGTTTTGATATAGGTACTAAAATTATTGACTACTGAAACACTGTTAAGCAAAAAATGATGGTGAATATAGTAGAGATTGTATCCTCGACCTCCCATATGAGCAAAATCTTTTTTTTCTTTCAAATATGCAGCATTATCAAGTGGAATACTATATGCGTATAAAAATGGTTATATGTTTTAAATAGTTAAATCATTTAAATAACGTTGTTCTATTATGGAGTTGGATATGAATGAAACAAAAACCTATCATGCAGGATATGTATTTAGATTTAAAGTATAAAAACAAACGAAATATATCTGTACACAACAGTTTTTATAAACACCTGTATAGTCACTATCTTTGACTCAGATCCCGAGATTTCTTTCTTGAGCAAACTCTTGTTAAAGCGACGTTATAAAACTGAATTTTTAAAATTATTGTCCCAAGAAATGTAAAAACCCAATGTCTTCGTTTGTCACCATTTCATTTATTTTTCGTTTTCCTTCCATAATGGCATCAAATTTTTTTATTATTTTTTTTACTCTCCCTTAAAGAAGATTTGATAAGATTTTCAGAAATAACGGTTATCCAAATAAAACGATTCAAGGTGTGTTATATGGTCCATCTATCTCAATTACTATTGAACCACAATCTGAAAATCACAACGAAAAGAAAAAGGCATTTCATCCTTAAATACCAGGCCTAGGAGAAAATCTTCGTAGGTTAACGAATAAACTTAACATCACCGTAGTTTTCTTAAGTCCTCCTACACTATGCGACAGTCTTACGAAAATGAAATCCTTACGTCCCAGTCCTCTCACAGAGAACGTGGTTGAAAGCACTAGGTGTGAGTGTAATAATAGGGGAAACACAACGCCCGTTACAGATAAGGTTTAAAGAGATATTAAGAACTGTGTTATAAACACATCTGCTACGGCTTTTAACTTTCAGGAAAACAACCATATAATAGACATAAAAATGCAAAAATAATAGACAGAGAAGAAAACACGAAACGTAGGAAAATCAAGGAAGCTATTGCCATCCAAGCACAAGACAATGAACCAACAAACTATCGGGCAATAACGAAAACAACTCAATACTGTATGGACCCCACTCATAAAACACATTATTTGTCGTGGTTTTGATGTAAAATTAAACCTTTAATTTTACAATGTATTATTTGAAGTAGAAAAATTTCTTTATTTTTATTTCTCTACGTTACACCTATAATTGTATTTTCATTATGTTTATTATATCGAACCAATTGATTTATATTCTATACTAGCTGCAGTACTCGTCTCCTGGACGGAAGTTATGTAAATTTATAATTAATTAACGGTTATCTTTAAAAATGAAAAGTTGCTTCCCTTATATGTAGTTGTAAAAAACGCCCATAAAAACTGCAAAACGCAAAATTTTAAACCGCAAGTCTCTATGTATCTCCCCATGGACCCAATGAACCTCCTTACCAATTTTAATGAAGATCCATCCACACTCTGAGAAGTAGTTGCATGTACATACAACAGACAGTACTATTATATTTATATAAATTCATCATAATTCTACATGTTTAATAAATTGAATAGCAGATATCAGTTACTGTTACGACTGTTTCCTAGCTACCTATTTTAAAGCAGTGTTCCACAGTTTTATCGCTCAGTACATTGTTTTCCGATGAAGGCTCCCATAAGAGGGTCGAAAGCTCGCAAATAAAAGTATTTTAACAAAGAGAAAAGTTCGTGTATAATTTCACACGTTAAACGTCTTCTACTTTTGCACTCGTATAAACGTAAAAGTACCATTGTACAATTAGCAAACAGGAATATTGAGTTTCCACGTGAGCTAGCACGCATACAAGTACGTACTGAAGACTAGATATTGTTCATTTAATTAGATAGACTATTAGACCATTATTCAGAGTAGCCTTTAATTTTATAAAAAGCTCACATTCTAACTTTACTTGTGGATGGAATTCCGAAACCTACATATTTATTTATGCTTTGTTTTTTCTATAAACTTGGCTAAAGAAACTATTATCATGAACCCATGGATACCTGTTCTAGTGATTAAATTTACACTGTAGCATGATGTTCTGTTTGTCAACATTTCAACACTAAGCTATAAAATCATAAAAAAACTAGTGTCTTTTCTGCATTACAAAGAATATTTACCACTTAAGAAAGCATGTTATGCTAAATTTTCTAATGCGAGTCTTCTTGAAGGAAAACCCACAACAAAAATTAGACCATCATGGAAATGGACTTATAGACGCGTGGATTTTCAATAATCTTTTTATTCCTTTTGTATAAGGTTTTAGATATTTTCGTTTGAAAACGATAATGCGTTTCTTGTTCGTCACCAGCAGAGATGTCAGCTGAGTTGTTTTTGTTTTATCAGTATTAATATTGTAATTACAGAAAATATACTAATATACGAGTATATATTAAAAATAATACACCAGTCTAACTTAAAACAAGTTATTCATGACATTTTTATAGTAAAGTAAAATATTCTTTAAAATTGTATTTCCACACATAACTAAATAAAAACAACAGTTAAGGCTTCTCTTTTTTGTTCATTACTAGCATTGTCAACATCTTTATTTTTTTTTTCATCAAAGTACCAACTACTAATCGTCAGGAATGCTAAACACCAGTGTACAGTTTATCTCTGATTTAATGTTCTAAAGAACCCACAAGAACGGAGTTTACCATTATGTACATTTAGTTGTTACCAGTTTCTTCCCATGTTTTATATATATATATATATATCTTTATAATCCGTACTGTCCCAACGAGTAGGTACAGAAAAGTGAAATAATTATTTCAAATGTCTTAAATACTGATCTTCAACTAAACCTTTTTTGTTTTGTTTATATAACAATGATATATCACTTAAAACAGGATCAGGGTGAAATACCAATCTGCAAACAAGCTGGTTAACAAAAACACCTGTTGTTACCTTTTTTTTCAGGCATACGTTTTTTTAGCATCTAACACCAAGGCACAATGCGTACATCTGTGACAATCAATTCGACACATCTTGCTATTATTGAGCTACATATTATTTAACTGCACTGGCAGTGATATGTTCCATGCAACTATCTAAAATTCATATCGAACTTGGATATCACAATTTTAACCATCTTTTCTTTTGTACTTGGTAGCCAGAAGTGTTAACTGTGGCACAACAAAAACATATACAGATTAACACACTATTGTTTCTAGCCAAGCACTCTGCACAACCCTATAAATGTAAGTTTCCCACACGTGGCAGGTATGGCGTTAATTTCGTGTAAAATTAGTCTTCATCTGAAAGTGGCTCATATTGAGAAGATAAAAGAGGGGCCACCTGTAGTTCTGGCAGAGGTGAGAGAGCAGAAGACACCCTAGGTAGAGGATTTTGAGTGGAAGGTGAATTGCTGCTTGAAGAAGATGTGGATTTACTGATACTAAGAGCTGAGAATGGATATGTATACTGGGCTGAAACCCCTGAATAGTTGGGATAAGATACAGTAACAACTGCAGGAGATGATGAGTATCGTGTGTTACTATCTGGTATTGAAGGTAAAGCATTGAAGGGAGAAGAGCGACTATCAACACCAGGAGATTTCAATGATAAGGATCTCATACTGACAGCATTCTCAGAACCCTGGCCATGATGTGTTTCTTCAATGGAACGTGTCATAGTCTGAGGAGCTGAGGGTGGAGACACTGGCTCTATTCTAGAACCTGTAGCATTATTCAGAGGTAAAGTTTTGTTTATAGAAGTTTCATTGTGCAAATGTCGTACTCTATTGGACTTGATGTTATCATTCCCACAACTGTCTAAAGCTAGATGTCGGTGAAGGTTGGGATGTTTTTCATGAGGGTAGTGACTCTCTGTTCTTGGCCTTTTTCTCATTATTTCAGTTTCCTTCTTTGGATCTATGCAAACAGGTGATGCTGATTTTGATCGCATCCCACTAATGTTCATGGTAGACCCATTACAACTAAAAATGCCATCCACTGTTCGCTTTGGACTCCGAAAACCATCTATTGTCATATAATGTGTTTTACTAGAAACTGAAGAAGGTCGTGGTAGGAGATGGGAAGAACCTCCTACCAAAATAGGACTATATCTAAGGTCTGGTTGTGGTGTTAGTCTATCCCGTGATTGGATAGCACTCCCAGTGCTTTGGGGTCGTTCTAACCTTTCTTGTATTTTTATGCTCTTTGGAGTTGGGAAAGGCAAGTTTTTTTCTTGTCTGTCTTGCTGGGAATGGAATTGATTTGATGCTTCTCCCGTCTCATCTGCTGCTGTCCTCATCACCTCCACTATTTTATTCTTCACATAGTCCAAAGGAGATAGTCCCATTTGCTGATGTTGACTGCCACTGTGCATGGTTGACAGACCTGGTGCACACTGACCTGCAGTAGGACTGATCACTAACCCCTCATGTCTAACAGTCACTTGACCAGGGAACCATCCAGTTGGTGATTCATAATGAAGATTGGAAGTGTTTAATTCATCAGGATTGAAATGGGTTGGAGGAGAGATGGGTTCCACAGTGTATGGAGTAAGAGGAGAGGAATGTGGGCGATTTGGTGTCCTTAAAGGTGGGTGATTCCAACTGTTAGGTCTTGAAAATCCACTGGGTGACTGCTGTGCTCTTTCTCTATTTTGCTGAAGAGCTCTTCTCAGCTTCCAACTCTGATATGCAGGACTTGGTGTCAAAGAGTTTTGATCTTCTGATATAGCACAATACCTATCATTATTTCCATGTAAACCTTCAGCAGCAGCTGCTGCTGCTGCTATGCCTTCTAAGGGTCTTCCTGTAGGAACATCAACATGTTGAGAGTTAAATGAAGCTACTTGGGAACTTTTGTGGAAAGACATTTGAGAAGTAACGCCTGCTAGTCTTCCTTCGGCGTAGGAGTTACTTTTAGAGACCTGCACATTATTAGGTGGCCCAGGACTATAATTCTTAGAGATGATTGCTTCAATGCGTTGACCAAGGGTAAAAGTCTTTTCAATCACATTGTTAGGTCTTATTGAACCATGATCTGAAACACAAAACTCTGACCTACCATTCACGTTTTTTTCAGATTCATCATCTATAGTTACAATCTTCTCTTTTAAGGAAGGAAGTCTAGTAAAGTCTCCATCTTTACCACTCTCTTGACCCTGAAGTAAAACACTTTCTGGTTCAGGGTTTTTTAAAGTACCTTCTGCAGGCTGGTTTATTTGATGAGTGATGATGGCATCAATTAGATTCCCAGCAGTTACTCCTCTAGTGGATGCTGTAGTTTTAGGTTTCTCTTTTTGAAAGGACTGAGATAACATCATAGCAGCCTCCATGTTTAAGTCAGGCTGATTAAGAGGAACACGTGTGATATTCAGAGGACCATCTATGCGATAAGGGTGAGACTTAAAGTTTATCTTCTTCATAGGAACAGAATGGTATTTATCCTGGCCTACTTCAGGGTTTTGACAATTAACTAAGTTTTGTAACATCATCTCTTGTTCAAACTTCTCTTGGGTGAAAGGTTCTCTGACAAGATGAAGAGCAGCAGAAGGCTGTTGGTGTCTCAGAACCTCAGAAGTTTGCTTCATGTTATGCCTTGAATCAATCATGCATCCATATGTTTCTTGCCTGAAATATGGCTTTATATCCATATTAGTTTTTCCAGATATTTGTTCCAATCTGTTTGGTTCACCTGGTGGCTGAATATGGATGTAAGGTATTGGTTCTGGGTGAGACCTTGGGCGCTGTTGAAATTCTGTAGAATTGGTGACTTTCTCACGATCAGACCGTAATATCTCTAACTGGACAACTTTTGAGTTAGCTAAAGGGGTTCTTCTTTCATTTCTAGGAATGGTGAGGCTTGGCTGGGCTGCTGCAGCATCCACAAGTGTATTAAAAGCCTCATGACTGGGAGGTAGCATAGAACATGATCTATTGCTACATAAGTCTGAAACATGTGGGGAGGTATGAATAACTGAAGGTTTATCCTCTGTTCTCCAGGCCTGATTATGAATAACATTTTGTCTGGAGGCTGGCTGTACAGGAGATACGCAAGGAGGCCACTGACCTGACACAGGGCTGTTGGTAGTGTTGGGCTGAGGTGAGTAATGGGCATCACTCATGGCTGGATAAAACTGGGATGCCTGCCCTTGAGGACCTGAGGATTGGCACAGCATTATAGAATGCACAGGATGCATCTGAAGATCAGAGCCATTTATTGCTACTTGATCCTGTTGTGAGCTAGTCTCTTTTGCCCGTGGGGATTCTTGATCACCAGATACACTTCCTCTTTGCATTTGCATTTGTTTTGAAGTGTTGAAATCAATCATTAATTGCTTGGAACTTGAAAGTTCACTGGGAAAATTTTGCTTGGTGGATGTGGTAGTAGATGCAGAATACCCTGGGTATGGATAGGGCCCTGAGGAAGACACTCTTTGGTAATACTGTTCAACAGCTGGATTGTACATCACTGGCATTACTGAGCTTGAAGATGGTACAGATCTAGTGTTCCCATCTTCACATGATACAGGGGCAGAAGGATGAAGTTCTGGTTGTGATGTTGAGGCTGCAGCCTTTTTCCCAGGAAGTACTGGAGTACCCAATGTAATTGATCCTCCATCTTTGATGTTAGGAGGAGTGAACTGCTTTAGGCCTTCATAATGAGATGAGATGCTTACTGGGGAGACTGAAGGGTGTTGATTCAGAGGAGTACCAAGAATAATTGATCCACAATGACTAGTTCTGTCTTTATAAGCCAATTTCATGTTGTTAATTAGTGGTGGTGGTGGTGGAGGAACTGGAGATTTGCTAGAAATGTGTTTTGGAAAAGACCAAGAAGATGTGGTACTCGACTGATTATTGTGAACTGGTTGCTGTGGAACAAGATGTGGGGGCTGAGAATGCAAAAGATCTGTTAAGGGATAAGTCATTTTAGAGCCAAGTTCTCCAATTCGACTAGGGTAGAGGTCTCTTTGAAGTGGGAGATCTAGAGCACAATTATACTGCTTGGAATGGGCTGGAGGAGGAGCACTATAATGCAGGAGAGGTACCTGCTGTGAAAATGGAGATAATCCAGATGATGGATGGGGTAGAGGTGTGATTCTCTCCCTATTCTCCCTAATGAGAGCTGGTATTGGACTTGGTTTTTCCTTCTTGCTAAGGTCTTGTACTTCACATTCAAGGTCTTGACTAGGTTCACACACCAAATGTTGAGCCTTTATTGCCAGCCCTTCAGCACGAGGTAGGGGAAATGATCGAACATCACAGCTTAAACGTGATGACTCATGGGCAGCTGGTACTTGACCAATGATGCAAACTTCACTTGAGTCTTGTCCTGCCTCCATCTCCTGCCCTTCTTTAATTGGAAGTTGAAACATAGTGGAATCCTTATACTGGTTCTTGCCTGGGCCTTGAAGACTTATTTTGATAGCCTTATCAATCAAGTCTCTGACACATGTTGGCTCTTCTTTGGTACTACTACTAACCTGCATTGTATTGTGTGTTGTCATCATTGCTGGAAATCCTCGATGGGATTGATTGTGGTGTGACTCAAGTGATGGAAGCTGGCTTGTTTTGACTGCTGAATATTGAGCATATTTACTAGAACAAGTGACCTGATGATTGGAAATGTTTTGTGCAACAAAAGAACTGTTCATTCTTCCCCTACTTCTTTGAACATCACTATCTGCTTGACCGTGGCATTCATCTGCACTCACAGTAGCACTGCTGTCATTATCTGGACAGCTAACAAGAATAGCTTGAGACACACTTTTCCCTCGCATTTCTTCCTCCTGCTGCTTACAATGAGAGTCTTTCCCTGAAATACCAGAAATGAATGTATCATAACATAGGGATCTCTTTTGAGTAGCCTGCATCAATACACTTAGTTGAAAATAAGCATTAACAAAAGAACCTTGTAATATTAAATACTGCTTCAAACCAAAATTCAGAATACCCGTCTTTTATTTTGGTCTCAAATCAATATTTAAAAATTAAATGAATTTAATTACAACTTAAACAAAAGTCATATTCATCACAAAAATAAATGCTTGTAACTTTAGCACTGTTTGAAAAACTTTCACAGAATTTGTTTTTTTACCCCTCACAGCACTGGAGTCTGGTAGTCTAGATGTTTTTCTGAAACCTACTTAATATTCTTAAAAACATAAATCAAATTATCCATTTTTTAGCAAGTGGGCAACATTTCCACAATTTTTCTTCTCATTTTGTTGGAACTGAGGATTGATCACTGGAACAACTGACAAGAAAAATGGGTTGGATGTTGTGCTTATCTAATTACTTTTAAAACATCTATAATGGAGAATTATCTACTACAAACAGAAGTACAAACAACTACTGGAATCTAACTTGTTCAATCAATCAGTTAAGACTAGCTATTATCAATCTTAGTCTACAGCAGAAAAAAAAAACAATTTTTAAAACCTTCTCCTCGAGATCTTGAAATGAAGATTGTCATGAATAGTCAAAGAAATATAATTGTTATGTTGAAAAATAATTCCAAAACTTAACTTCCTAAAATAGATTTGGTAATTGGATAAGCAGAACACCTATAAAATGAACTGCATATCCAGTGGCTTAGAAATCTACAACACCCAGTAATTGTGAATGTCACATCGATACTGACCTATTATAAGCTGAGGAGTTTCAAAATTGAGCATTGGCAAGCTGACATTGTAAACATTAAGTTACAAATTCCTTATTCAAACAAAGACTTTTATTCTTTCAATCACTGCAAAGCTCTTCTTCTTATTTTGATAAGTTAACACGTTTTTAACAAGAATAAAAATCATTATTTCTCACAGAAATGTTGCATACAACACAGCCATGCTTCTTTATAATTAAAATTAAAGGTCTGCATGGTGATGAAATGGTTAATTAAAATTCAATCCAAGATTTATGACATGAAAATTTACCTTCTTCTGGATTCTTATTAGTTGGACTTGGAGCACTTGCAGTGTCACTACTACATCCATTATCTTCTTCACAACTTGATGTTGTCCCTCCACTTTCATCCTCATCGCTGGCAGTTTTTCCATCTTTCTTATGTTCCTCTTCTTTTGTTTCATGATTCTACATTTAATAATCAAGATTAAGATAGATATAAATAATGGTTTAATTTTTTTTTTTGTATATCTAAAAAGGAGATAGTTCTACATTCTCAATAACACACATTGAAGGGTAAATCTCTGTGTAATTCTGAAAAATTAGAAAACATAATGCATCTGGGTGTATCACATATTTTTTTGTTATAACATGTATTTGTCAAAGGCTGTATTTTTTAAAGTAATATATTTTTTCTTAACAAAACATAAATGTTTCAAACAAGAAGGTTTAAGGCTAATATAAGAATATTTTACTTGGTATAAATAACTTCATGAATAATATATCAATCATAAGCTTAATTGATGAACTTACTGAAAATTAAAGACAGATAGATCTTTTTTTTGTTTTTCAACATATAGCTTTTTGTACATAGCTGAGGAGGACTTGGTTTGATGCAACATAATTATGTTCCTTACCTGCTTATACTCTTGAATTATTTCCTCCAGACCATATTTATGCTTGTAGTTGAAGTAGAAATTTTTGCACTGTTCTTTTGTTTTAGTGGCCACCATGTCCCCAATGGCTACCCAGTTGGTTCCTAGTTCTCTCAAGCCTCTTTTTGCAACCTCTATCTCTTCTTCGGTCCACCTTGATGACTCTGTTCCTGTAACAAATGGAACGTCAGTCTATTTACAAAATTTGTAGGAAGAGTTAGATATCTATACCCCCAAATGTTTTGATGATTATTTACAGGTTAGATAAATATCAAATTTTGTATTCTGTTTGTATACCAAAGCATGGGTATTTTTATACTAAAATGAGACAAAAATAAATGCTTAATGAAAGTATGGAAATTGTTACTGGAACAATTTAATAAGATACTAAAAAATATTTTGATAAGAAATAATATATAAATGAAATACAAAGAAAAGAAAGAAGAGTAAAATAAAGACTATACAGAACACTGAGTACATTATATTAAAACAACTTTGAATATGAAAATTAGCAAGTCAGCTGTGGTTGAGATATATGTCATGGTTGAACAACATGTAATAGAACTACATTTTGCCATTTTTGGTATTTTGTAGGTATTATGTTGTCACCATAAATTTATTGCTTTGGGGAAAAATATGTAAAAGTCTATAAGATGATGGGAGGGACCAGAGAAGTAATATCCATCCCAGGGTTCTTTGTGCACAGCTTATACACATGATTTGTAATAATAATTTGTAATAACCAGGCATGTTTATTTCATCCAGACCTAAACTTCCCGTTTTCAGTTATCAATCTGACAAAAGTAGCCTGCTATTAATGTATTTATATACAATATCCATATAATTGTTTCACAACAGAAATATATTGGAGAAATATGAATTTAAAAATAATATATATCTTGAATCTTATGTGCTTGGGTTGGGGTTAAGTGCACATGCCACAACCCATTACACATTGAAAATCAACATAGTATTGTGTATTTTACGCTACAGTTATCAACTACACAATTTACCCTACATCACTAGTTTAGCGACATTTCATGGTAGAGGAAAATAAATACCAGATACAATATATAAGGAAACTGAAAAAACATAGATATGCATTTCACAGGTTCAGTAGGTTATGTAAACGAATTATGTAAACTGTACGATGGACAAAAGTATTTTTAATTCTTCACATGAACATCATCTTGCACTCCAATTTTTTAGTTTGAGTCAAACTGACATTATCAATTCCCAGACAGATCTTAAGTGCAAAGACTTCTGTAACACATCAGATTTTTGTACACAACAGACTTACACATTTTACAAAAAGCATGCCACATTTCATGTAGATACATGATGTAAATCTGTAATTATAGTCAATATTTTTTCTACAATACAGGGTTGACCACATGCACATTCGGTTAATGTAAGATAACTTTCAAAATAAGATTATATCTCTTACTATAAGGTCAGTCAATTTGATTGACCTCGTAACCATTTTGTACTCATTAAAATTTCTCAATATCTGCATCTTCACAAAATTTGGCAGACTTTTAGTAAACAATACTTCTGAACACAAAAAATCATATTTTTTACTGAAGTTTTATTTGTAAATATATACAGTATATTTTAACTAATCCAAGTACAAAGTCATTTCCACATCAAGGTTAAAATACCTTTCATCATCTGAAGAATCTCAAATGATGATTGCATAATCTCTAAAACCTCCTAAATAAATTCAAACATTTGTTTTCAGAAAAACTTTACATATTTTATTTCTTATTCTTTCTACCCTAACTTTATACAAGGTTGGTCAATTTGACTGACCTCATAACCACCAAGAAAATAAATAAATCTAAATTACATTTTCTTCTTTCTAGAATGACATCAAATTATAATATGAAACTACATTTGTTTATAATGACACACAGTAGAGTGTTGTGCATCCAAAACAATCTACTGCAGGACAGTGTGTTTATTAACAGGAGTGATAGTCTGTGTTTTAATCCAAACTTCACATATTTTCAGTGGATGTGCTCTACTGGACTTCACATATCAAGTTTCAAGGCAATCCATTAAGACATCTCCAACTTTGATTGAGTTTTTCCTATTTTTTTTTTTTTTTCTTAGCACCAAAAGTATGGAAATTTTATATGATAGAAAAACATACTTAACTTTTATGGATTTTTTTCAAATTAGGTATACTGGTAGATCTTTTCAACCTACAATCAGGAATCTCATTTGGTGTAAATATGAGCCACATGTATATAGTTATTCAACAAAACTTCTCAAATTTAATGACACACCTATGCAAAAAGTCACATGAGCTTTCAGTCCAACATTTTTACTACAGCTTCACCTAAGAGTAAAAGTGGACAGTTTTTTTGTCATTTAGATTAAAAATGGCTGACCTAGAGCAGCAAAACAATAAGATGAAAGTACGTGCCAATACATAAGTACTACTTAGGCCAAGCAAACTAGATTAGCAGTTTCTAACTCAAGTTTTCAAAAGAATCATATGGGTGGATGGTTATTATTGGTTATCCATTACCAACTTTTCAACAAAAAGTTACTACATTTTATGAAATTATCTTAATTATAGAGCATTTAGCATCATGTGATATTAGTTTAAGCAATTAGCATAATTAATGATGCTTGATACTGTTGTACTGATTGCATGGGGGTGATGACAAGAAACTGTTAATCTAAAGTCCATGGCATTACTATAAAGGAAGCTAATAACACTGTTTTATAGAGGAAAACTAACACCATATATTTTAAAGAATCTGGTAGGTTCTGTAAAATAAAGGTTTGTTCCAAATAATAGAGTTGCATTCCTAAAGCTAATGCGGGTTACTATAAAGTGTCACTTTCTTGTGTGCTGTGGTTCGTCGATGTGTATTGACAAAAAGTCATTATATCTAATCAAAAACACCTTAGGTGTTAAAAAGAGGTGTAGCCAAAAAAAAATCGATAATCAAACTTTTTTCTAAATAAAATTTTATATTTAATCTGTTATTTTATCAATATTAACTGTATATGGTGTTGATCGATTTGACCAACCTCGTAACCATCATAAAAGTTAGGAAATAACACTAAATTACTTTTTTGTTCTACAATAACTGCAAATTGTAATAGGAAACCATAAATGTGTATTCAAAATAGCATAAATCTCTTAACAGTATAAATCTATTTATATCTATTAATTTTTGTTTTATTGACCTTTGAACCATGTCTGACTAAAAATACCAACAGAAATTGAAAATTACATGGTGTGCGTGCATTAACATGACCCTATCAAACAACATAATGTAGAAGCTTCTGGTACGTATACCCTATGAAGGTTTTTATTATTTTTCTTTCATTATCTTACCTAACAACTTTCTATTTTTATGATTTTAGTTACTTTTATAATAATAAACAGTTAAAACAAATGAAAAATTAAAAACCTTGTAATTAAATATCAAACATTTTTATTTTCAGTAAAGCTTTATATTTCATTTGTTACTTTTTGTACTGTAACATTATTCTTATTTCTCCAGGTTGCTTGGTAAGTAATCAAAGTATAACGAAAATGAAGGTTGCAAACTAAAATGTATTGTTAGTAGTAATTACAAAATTTCAAAGTACTTATAGTCAGAGTTGATGCTCTCACCTTATCACACTTATTTTCTGCAGTTATTTTATTGCTAGTAGATGAGTTAGAAATTAGAAAAAAACAAAATGAATAGTACTTTGTTCTTTTCACTATGGACAGTAAAGTTCCAAGTTAATCTCCTGAGAGTTTCTTCTAATCTTTTTACATCTATTTCCTATTGTTATTCTACTGTTAGCTACTGAAGTAGAAACCTGCTGAATATAAAGCAATGAATCACTGTTCTCATTTAGGTGTTATCATACTTTGAGTATTTTGACACCGTGAATATCAAATAAGTTCATGCGGCACAATTCCCAAACTATACAAATTATGCTTTGCCTGAGAAATGATGATATTATAAATAGTAATATAAGTTAAATTTGTTCTTCTTTAAGGGGTTCTAAATAAATTAGAGAAGAGAGAGGATGCTTAGAGAGAAAATGTCACAATTCTCCTACTATGGGAAATTCGGGATTTCTTTCAATATTGCCTTATAAAAGTAAGAACTTAAAACTTATATCCTATTAAAATATGGATTATTAGTAATTTTTTTATTCAAAGTCGATTGGTATATCATAAAACGAAAGTAGTTTAATTAAATTCTGAATGCAACTCACTGAAACATTAAGACGTGTGCAGAAAAAGATGCCCATAGAGAGAGGGTTATCTGGTGGTTGTCATCATAATAGTTAACAACATTCATCAACTGCAGGCTTGTTTTCAAAGTCTTTTCTTTTGTTATTAAGCACAAAGCTACATAATGAGTTTCAAGTGCTATGCCTACTGCAAGTATCATAACCAGTTTTTAGTGTTATAAGCTCATATACTTACTTCTTAACCACTGCAGGCTGTTTTGAAAGAACTGATAATAATATCCAGCCTAAGATATCCATTTACCACAATTTTTAAATATTTCAATAAATTTAATAAATAAATTATGCATGATTTTATTCACATCTAAAATTAATGAAGGTAGCTGTACAGATTTTTCATACTCGTTCGTTTTTACATAATTTTGAAAACTCCATCCTAACACACTGACTCGTATATGATGCTGTACTTGTAATGTTTTTTTAAAAGCTAACTTTAGTTGTATTATGATTCAATATGTCTTTCTACACCCAGAGAATAATTATCACTTAACCCTATCCACATGGTTCAAAGGACATGTAATTGCGTTGGTTGACTCTCATTCAAAATTTTATTGAACTACTATTTTATAGATTTATGTCGTTGAGTTTGGTACCAAACTGTAGATTATAATTCAAATTTTAGTATTATATATTATTTAATTATTTATTTTTTTAGACTGAAATACAGCTTAGTTACTACACTTGATAAATTATAGTGGAATTCTGGTATCGATATAGTAATTTATGATTTTTTGGTTATTCAAATGCATATATAAAAAACCTAAAAAAAATTATTTCATTTCACACCCTCCACATGCAAAACTTTCTTAAGGCTTGGCATGCTAAGACAAGAACAACTGAGTACAAAGGTCGTAACTAGAAGAGATAATTGTTCACTTTACTTCTTTATTTACTGTTCTCTGTTTTAAGAAAAATAAGTTTAAGAAGTTATTTGTAAATAGTAATAATCTATAATAATTGAAATGTTACTGTATTTTACAAAATATTAGTCAACTAAAACACAGCCAAGAAAGGTCACTTTGTAAAGACTAAAGGACAGTTTTATACCATTGGATACCGTAACATGAGTGTACGTGAGCCATGTCATTGTAACTTTTGTATTGTTAGCTAGGCACGGCCGATAGGTCAACATAATAAAAATAGTAAATATATATGAATGTAAATTTTATGAGATTTAAGATATTTAGTCTAATCATTTATGTTTTCGTGTTATAATCTGTTGTCATTCTAGAACAAAAAAGGCATAATTTATATTTATTTTCTCTTTTTTTTTATGGTGGTTACGAGATCAGTCAAATCAACCAAACCCGTACAGATATTTGTTAGTGAAAATAAAAGATAAAGTTTTTCTTAAGAAACATTTGATAATTATCTAGACATTATAAAGATTTCACATGTGAAATTTTAAAACTTTCTGATGCATAAGAGTATCTTAAACTTAAAATGAAAATTACTTTGTGTGTTGGACAGGCAAAATGCAAAAAGAAAAAAAGGCATAAGAAAAAGATTGCTTTAGAAAAAAATCAAAATTAAATATCTTATTTTTCAAAACTACATACTCATAGAACCTTTCATCTGAAATTTAAAATAATTTCATCCACTAGTTTAATTTTTGTAAAGAACTTTCGCGAGAGTTACAATGTAAGTAGGTCATAGTCAAAGGGTTAAAATCAAATACAGCAAGACTTGAGCTGTATTATTAACCTACTATATTTTCAACATCACAAAGCAGTAATGCAAAGAGTCAAACATATTTAAAAGTACATGTACTAGTTACAACTTAAGATGTTTTTTTATGTGATGAAATGTTGACAATATAAAATGCTTGTCATGGTACAAGAGTACTTTAAGTTAATATTGCTACAGATTTAGCAAAATGCCTTGAAAAATATTCATTGAGCAAAATTTCATGAACAGAAAAAACAACAGAGAAATCTATATTAAAAATAATCGAGGGGATATTCTTACAATAATAAAAATAAAACCTTAAACCTACCTTCAGAATTAGGGGTACTTCCCAGTTTTCTAACTATACGGTTGTGACAAGCAGTGCAACATTTGGTTATTTCAAGTGGGAGAGCTAGTTTAAGAGAAAAAATACTCTACTGTAGCCTACAGGGTTACATATATATATATATTGATAAGAACACAGTTATATTTAAATAACTTGTTGTGACAAGCACTGCAACATTTGGTTATTTCAAGTGGGAGAGCTAGTTTAAGAGAAAAAATACTCTACTGTAGCCTACAGGGTTACATATATATATATATTGATAAGAACACAGTTATATTTAAATAACTTGGCTACAGTAGAGTATTTTTTCTTTTAAACTAGCTCTCCCACTTGAACTAACCAAATGTTGCACTGCTTGTCACAACTACAGGGTTACATATATATATATTGATAAGAACACAGTTATATTTAACTAACTTGTTGTGACATGCAGTGCAACATTTGGTTATTTCAAGTGGGAGAGCTAGTTTAAGAGAAAAAATACTCTACTGTAGCCTACAGGGTTACATATATATATATATTGATAAGAACACAGTTATATTTAACTAACAAAGCAATAATTGTAATCTCTGTATGTAATTTAATGGTAAAATAATTGATTTCCTCAAAAAATTATATTCCTTATCTATCCATCCATCCAACAGAAAATCCATGTTAGCAACAGACTTTTTATTATTTTTTGACAAATATCTAAGTTTCTTCTAACAGGAGAAAAGATATAAATACTCAGTTTTTTTTTGTTTTTTTTTGCTGTTTACTGTGAACTGATAGATTCTGAACATTAGCAACATTAACCAACAGTAAATCTTTCTTTTTAAAACTGGAAACATCAAATTTATACATAATTATGAACACAGGAACTATAACTAGGGGTGTGTAGAAACATACAAGAAGTTTAACAAGAGGTGTGTAGACAATATACAGCAAGTTTAACCTGAGGTGTGTAGACAATATACAGCAAGTTTAACCTGAGGTGTGTAGACAATATACAGTAAGTTTAACCTGAGGTGTGTAGACAACACAAGGAAGTTTAACCTGAGGTGTGTAGACAATATACAGCAAGTTTAACCTGAGGTGTGTAGACAATATACAGCAAGTTTAACCTGAGGTGTGTAGACAATATACAGCAAGTTTAACCTGAGGTGTGTAGACAATATACAGTAAGTTTAACCAAGGGTATACAGACAAGTAAATGTTAAGAATTTTATCCTTCTGAAAGTTTAAATATATAAACTAAAACTTACACAGTTCTTCCATGATGGACCTTTTAAGCCCCCACGGTAGCTCAAGCCATTTTCCTGGCAATAGCCGTAAACGTTTAACTTTTCGTTTGGGAGTTCTACACGATGGAATAGGACACCTACAAGGAAATTAAGTTACTAATTATGGAAATGTTTTAACAAGAGATGATTAATGATTTTAGTATTCCTAACTAGGAATAATTTGTATGAAGATTTTCAGATAAAATATTACCAGTTGATTATACCTTTTGTGTCATCCACAAAATAAAATAATCATCAAAAGTAATTTTTTTTTTTTCCTGGTGTCAATTCTGTCCAATTTGTACTTCATGCTTAAGTTTAAAAGAATTATTATTATTTTTTTAATCTAGTAATACCTTACTTCACTGTAAGGTTAATATTATAAAAACCTGAAAGCCAAAAATATGATTTAAACATATTTAGAAGTCTTGAATGTCAACTTTCTTGCAACAAGATAGTGAAATGTCACTAACATTTACATGTACTAATAATCCAGATGGATTTGTTTTATTTAGTGCCCCTGGCATTAATTACATTTCAGTCAAACTGACTGCCTTTTTAGCCAAACAAGATAAAGGAAAGAACTTAAAATGTAAAAATATTATTCAGCAAGATTATGAAAAAACCACTGGTAAGAGGTTAAAACACTATATAAAGGACAATTGTTCATAAAAACAAGCTCAAAGATGTAAAATATGGAGTTTGTGATATGATTCAGAAGACAAAAAATTAAAATAAATTTATAAGCAATTAAGAGTAAATTAAATATAGTTTCTTCATTGTTGTTTTATATCTATGTAATGCTGAATTATACACATCTTGTGTCTATATATTTTACTGCATTGTAGTGAAACAGATAAGTTCAGTCATGATACAAAAAAAACAAGAGGTAAACAAAGAAAAATGAGACACCCAATAACTCAACTGCTTTAAAAAAGAAAGGGGTTACCTCTTGAAGGCAATCACATTATTGGGTGTCTTGTCCTATTGATAAACATAAGTAACACTGATATCTTGAAATAGAATTTCTTTACATCAAAAATAAGACCATATACAAGAACAACACAGAAAACTATCTTTTCAGGATACATGTAGGGGCCTAAAGAGCACGATCCATAAACTGCAGATACTACAATTATATATATCTGTGTGTTTGAGAGAGATTGAAGGAAAGATGTTTATTAGTTATCATTCCATATGTTCCACGTATCTCTATTTGTTAAAGTTAAATCAATACTGTATATTACTGGTTGATTTTTTAATTATGCATTACTTACCTTTTCTGCACAGTTTTGAATCGACATGATGCACAAACACGCATGTCAGGAGTCAGATCTGACTCCTTTACACCAAATGTATCACAGTTGGATTTAGTAAGAGGGCGAAACTGAGAAGGATTTTCCACTTGGGCTTTACATACTACACAGACATGAACACTACCATCTAGATAGAAATACAACAACAGTTAGTCATATCTTTAGGATAAACACTACAATGTCAGTTGTTGTTGCTCTTCAGGCCACTAAAGTTACTTGACTTCAAAATTAACAATTACTTCAAAGTAGATTTTTCACTGAAGGAAATTGTAGAGTATAACACCAATAATCATGAAGAAATTTAAGCTTAATCTTTATATACATATATAAACACACACACCATATAAAATAATAAAAGAAATGAATTTAAAATTGTAATGTCTCTTATTTTTCCTGTGATTTACTGACTTCATAATAAATAGACTGTCTGTTTATTTACAACATCAATTATATTAATTTATCTTATGTTGTCAAATCAAGAACTATGACAATGGCCAGATTTCTTAAATTTGAAAAGTTAATCATACCTTATAAGAATGATTTATTGACATAGTGGCGTGTCATGGTGCTATAGGCAATATATTTAGCCCTAATGTATTTGGTTAAGGGCAAATTCCCAACAATTCAACTCAACAGAACAATACTACAGGGTAAATTTATAGCTGCTTCAATACTACACAGGCCTTTTTGAAAAAAAAGACATGCATAACAAATAACATTTGAAAGAAGGCAGCCTTCATTCTTTAGGTAAATTGAAAAACTCAGACAAAAGACAGCAAGGTCTCCAAAATCATCATTACAAAATATTATTTTAACCCACAAAAATTCCATGCAATGAAGCTTGGCATATCTTCTGGTACTGTTAACAACATTATAAACAGTATTTGAAACTGATGAATACTCACAAACCAAAAGTTTAAAAACTTTCATCCATATCTATTTTCATAAAAAAGTTGTCTGACGATACTGGAATTAAAGCATTCTTACTAGACTACATGCCTGTAAAGTGTTCTGATAAGGCTCCAATAAACCTTTGTCCCATTGTTCTGCTTTAATATTGTCTTGAAAGCTTATATTGTCCACATTCAGTGGCAAGTTTGTCAAGAAACTAGTTACAATGAAAACTGCAATGCAGAGCCATGGCCATCAGAATAAACATGATTGATGATAGAGGAAATAGTTCCAATGGCAGCATGTTATTAACACTCAGCACATTACTAGCACTGACATACTAACTGCCTATGTTTGTAATAGTACAAAGTTAGGAATTAGTAATTCAATTTCAGTGTATCAAAAGCATCACTCCTTCCCACAATCTAGTCAAGCTTGGTACTTTTTACTGGCAACATATAACAGTTCAAGGTTTAGGGTCTCTTCCACATCACTTCTGTAAATTTTGGTCCACTTCATGTCTTTTACTCATTACTAATATGTAAAATAATCATCAACATAAAATAATTGCACATGCTTTGAGCTTTAATTATATCAAGTCTTTGCAGAAATTATAGTTTTGTTATTGTAATTAAAAAAACACAGGTCACATAAATATACATGTTTTGAGTACACTGCACATTTGTAACAGATTTTTTTAGAGATAAATTCTTATCTATATAAAGAATAATAATTTATGTATACATAAATAAATAAATTATAAAGTTACTATCACCTTCACATGGTTTTGTCTTGTCGGTTTTGAGGTCTTTGTTTTCACTGAAACAGTAGGTAAAAATATAAAATCATAATTTTAATTTTACAGAAATACATTTTTAATCAAATAAAAATATTTAAGTAATTTTCTAAGAAAAAATAAGTTAATATTTTTGACAAAATGTCCTCACATGTTTGACAAAATACTTTAAAACATAAAGTGGCACAATTTTTAGTATAAAGCTAAAAACTACAATAAATTAGTACAAAAACAAAATTTTACCTATTTGAGCTAGATTTACCATCACTCTCTGTTCTTGGGTCAAAATAGTTATTTCTGGTGGGCCTGAAATTACTTTCCAAATAAGATCTGCTTGTGGATGATGAAGTTGTTGCTGTAGTCAGAGACACAGTCATCGTGGTAATAGTTGTATGACAGCAACTTATAGGGATTGTTACCATTAGATCTAAAGAAGCTGGCATCATGGCTGACTGAGAGAGAGAAAGTATAACTTTATCATGAATGCATAATTTGAAATAGACAAGTTTAACCCTTTCCCCCAGCAATACTTTACTGTGCATGTCACACGGTTTTAGCAACTTGCATTCAAATTTTAATTAAACTATATTTTGTTTACGTTATACTAATTAGTATAGCTAATAATCCATATTTTAAGAGTATACAAGTTTTAAGTTCTTAATTATATAATGCAATATTTAAAAAAAAATCCTGAATTTCCCCTAATGTGAGAAATGTGACATTTTCTCTAAGCTTCTCCTCTTCTCTATTTTATTCTCCACCCCTATAATACGCAAGAAATTTAACATAATTTACTCACTGTAAAATCATCATTACTCAGACAAACCATAATTTTTATAGCCTTCAATCTTGTTTGGTTACTAAGCCATCAAATAGAAAATCAGACCCTACCTGTCACATCCTCTCTCTTTCAGGATTTGTTAATAGTTCTCTCTTACACATAATACTATATTACATATAGTTACCAATAGAAAGCCAAGGTTATCATCCACCAATTGATGTATTATATTACATTGCTTTCTGAGCAGAGAATTGTCAATTTCTCAGTTAGTACAAGCTTTGTTCCCACGGAAAAGAAAATGACTAGCTTGGATGAATTTGGAACAGTTTTTGTTGCATAGTTAGAAAGCCAGAAAAATTGTAATAGTTAGGGTAAATTGTCTACTTTTTACATGTTATTATTCTATGTTCTTTGTTGCATTATTTAATTAAATAAAAACTATTTAGTGCATTACTACCATTAGTATAAAAAAAGTAGAGTTAACTGTCATCAACAGTCAACAGCAAAAAAAAAAAAAAGAAAGAAAGAAAGAAACAGGCAAGTACCTTATTTCTTGTTTTTCATGTTTATTCTTTATTTATTATTACAAAAGAACTAAAATGTACAAATAGGGATCTCTTTAGGTTAGTTAAGGTTAGATTAGGTAAAATAATAATTTAATAAAAATGTTTCATAAGGCACGGACAGGAGCAGCTTGGAGTAGCTCATTGGCAATAAAAACAAAAAA